CACGTATTTCTTGGCTCCATAAGAAGGTTAAGTTCGAAGATGGGCAAAATCGGCCCACTGCCACGCCCACAAAATGGCGGAAACCGAAAACCTATAAAATGTCATAACTAAGCCGTAATTAAAGATATTAAAATGAAATTTTTCACAAAGGATCGCACTAGGGAGGGGCATATTTGAACGTAATTTTTTTGGAAAAGTGGGCGTGGCCCCGCCCCCTACTAACTTTTTTGTACATATCTCGAAAACTACTATAGCTATGTTAACCAAACTGTATAGAGTCGTTTCTTTTAGGCATTTCGATATACAGTTCAAAAATGGAAGAAGTCGGACAATAACCACGCCCACCTCCCATACAAAGGTTATGTTAAAAATCACTAAAAGTGCGTTAACCGACTAACATAAAACGTCAGAAACACTAAATTTCACGGAAGAAATGTCAGAAGGAAGCAGCCAAGTTTTTTTTAAAAATTGAAAATGGGCGTGGCGTCGCCCACTTATGGACCAAAAACCATATCTCAGGAAGTACTCAACCGATTTGAATGGATTCGGTACATAATATCTTCTTAACACCCTGATGACATGTACTAAATATGGGTGAAATCGGTTCACAACCACGCCTGAAATCTCGATTATCCTTTATCATGCGAGAGTATAAAATGTTCGGTGACACCCGAACTTAGCCCTTCCTTACTTGTTTTAATTTAATTTAATTTACACTATATAAGAAATGAATATGTTATTTAATTTTTTTTTTTTTTTTAATTGAAACACGAAATTAGGCGGTGTATCACTTTTAAAACAATAAAATCGGCCGCTTTTGTGTAAGCACAGAAAAGCTAATTTGTGTTTTTCTCACTAAACGACATAAATTAAAAACTATATAATTATGCTTAAATAGCAAACTTTATTGAAGAGAAATGTGAGAAGTGCGAGAAAAAATATGGCGTTGTTTGCTGTTCCAGTCGGTCTACTTTTTTAGCGTTCCTATTGAAAACCCCTGTTATTAATTGCAAGTTGAATTTCGATTCTCGGAGTTTCATCAGTTTTGTCAAGGTAGAGGAATTAGTAAAATATAGGCTTAAACAGCCAGGTGGGATCTTAATTATTTTTATACAAAAGTTTAAACGTTATGGTGAGACCGCAATGAAAAAGTCTAACTTCCATTATATTCGAACGGAGGGTATACTTTTGGAATATGTTTGTGAAGTAAATTATCTTAGTATCTCACTTTTTATTTCAGTGAAAAATATTTGTGGTTTTGTTTTTAATTATACGATTAATTTATGACAAAACTATTCGTATAAATATTCTCAACCGCCAATAAAATTTCACCGCAAACAGCAAAAAAAAATGAATATGTGTATATATTTTACATTATTACATGTCATAAACTATATTAGGGTGGTTCAAAAAGAATTAACAAATTATTTTTTCGCTTTGTACTCTAAAAATATGTTTTTAGACATCTCTAAGAGACCATGTAAAGCAGTAAGTTTCGTTCTAGGTTTAACTCTTACTTATCTCGAATCGACATGACATAACATGTAAATATATTTATGTACAACTTGTAATGCGTTTCCGCATGACTCTAAACACCTATTTGCATGCCCAGCTAATCCCACACATCTGACATTGCTCTCCTCATGATCCGCCGAAGTCGAAACAGAAAGTTTCTTGGGCCTCGCTTACATCTTATCTGAACTTTGCCTCCCTGACAGAAACTACGACAACATCATCAACAACAAGAACATCAAGTTAGTTTCCTACAAAACTATGAGTTTTCCGTTTTTGTTTTTATTCACCCTAATGTGCATATAATAATGTATGTATGTATATTGAAAGAAATACTATTTATAACAATATGTAACATTACTATTAGAAAAACGGTTATCCAA